CCCCCTGAAATCTTGAGTAGAGGTCCTAACGGATCTCTGGGTTGTGTTTCTGTAGTTTCAGGTGTGTGTGTGTGTGTTACGCTGCACTGTGCGACCTCCGAGTGCGCTCCGAGTGGACACTTGCAGTATTTCTAGGAGTGACAGTCGCCTGAGAATTCAAACTCCTCAATAGTCTGTTAAACGTGACACTTTGTACCCTGTGTGTTACTCTGTCCCTGTGGGTTCGACCTTTCTACCACTATGTTGCAGTTTTAGCCTTTAGTGGGTTATTACAATGCGGTAAAAATTGCTGTGCTTCACGGTCATAAATTACATGTGGCAACTTGGTGAACCTACCAACCTAAGTAGTGGCTACCCCACTGGATTAAAGGATGTGATAAGTATGCGCCTACAGTGAATCCGACTATCACATAGTAGGGAACTCGCATGAATTCTTTATAATAGTCATCCGGGAGCTGTTGTCGACCGTCTAAAATTGCAGCAAACTAACCCAAAGATGAATAAGATTTCCAGCATCACCACCTGCTCACAAATAAAGATTTAAGGCACGTCAAGTCAACGACTCTGGTTATGTCATCAAGCTACGTTATACATCAGAAACTCAGAGCCATTCAAATCAAATTGTTGCGCAAAGATCGAAATGGAACAAATATGTAGCCAAATTGCTAAGCCGAAGTAAGAGAGGCTAGAAAGAAGACCAAAGGGAAATTAAGGATTGTGACCTCATGTTTGGCGTTGAAGGAAGCCAAAGCATCCACGAATGCCGTTCCGTAGCCTGTATTTGGATCCAGCCAGGCAACATACAAAATAGCCAAAACGACTCCCAGCACAAGAGTAAAATATATCCAAGATGACGTCTTTTGATCCTTGACGTCGAATACACCTGCATCTTCGCCAACAAGATTCGAAAACGTACTGTCCTCGCTGTCAGGATCAGTCACATTTTGAACATCTCCCGAACTGGACTTCACTTTGAAGGGAGTGCTTTGACCAGAGGCAGGAAAAGACGATTCTTCGACATCTGGTTTAAGCTCTGCTTTCCAGCTTCTAAATGGACTACTCCGCGCCGGTTGTTTCCTCGGGGAAATAGTTTGTGATAATGACTGAACACTTGCCGCTAATCCCCATGGTCCCTGCAGCTCAGTAAGAGCGGGCGTTAGCTGGTACTTTGAATTTCTTTCTTGGTTAACCATTGACTAGCTAAACTGGAAAAAAACTCCGGACACGTATGTGTAAAAGCCAAAATACACTGAATGCAAGGGTTCCATAGGTGGTTTATAGCATGGCAACACCACATGTGTACGTGCCACTTTGAAAGAGGGGTGAAGGAGAGCAAGCAGATACGACGCATGTCGAGGCACAACAGACACTAAGCGGAGGGGTTATTAAAATCTGGCCGCTGCACTGCTCATGGACTTCGAGAAAGGAAAATTTACGACACTTTGCCCAGCCCTCATAGAAATTCGAGAGAGAATTCGAGTGCTACAAAAATTCGTAATTCATGCACACAGTCAACTCAAAAAGCTGAAGGAATACTGACCAGCAGGCACAAGCGCGAGGAAGAAAGTGAAGAACTACGCAGCCTGCTGGAATGGAGGCAGCTTCCAGCTTGAAGAAACGTCGGGCCGAACATGTATTCAAGAGTTACAAAGCCAAATGATTGAACTGTGCTCTGATTGGTATGAAGCCCCAACGCACCAACAGTTTCTTTCAGTCTTGAAAGCTAATTCCTGTCGCATAAGGAAGTACATGTCAAAGCTCACCCTCACAGGCCACACAACATGGTCTCTCCAGCTTCCGATCGCGAAATGTAAATAAAAGATCCTGAAGCAAGTGAACACTTCCACAGTAACAGTCACATTTATGTATACCAGATTTTTCAATGGAGTGCTCGGAGATTGGTTTGACAGCATTCTCAGTGAGAAATTATATGACATATATATTATATGACATCGCATTATTTAACTTTAGAATTGACTGACAGTGATGGTCCGGAGCAATTCGCCACCACAAATCACAGCAAAGATAATATTGACGGCGATCCAAAATCGCTCATCGTTGCTCAGCATGCTGCAGCGTTGACATCTTCACTTCTCCGCGCATTTGGCGAAGAAAGACGAAAGCAAGCTGAGCGAGGGTTTGAATAGAAGACTAGAGAGAGGAGGCGGGGAAAGCCAAGATCTCTCTGATGCTCCGTCTCCATAACCAACACCTCTCGCTCACCTTTATCGACTTACTCAACAGTTCGTCCGCCCGAATAGTGTTCGTATGAAGGGACCCGCCCGTGCTCCATACCAGTGAAATCCATACTCGCTCCGAATTGTAGGGGCGAAGTGGAGCGTAAAGGATGGATCAATGAAGGCTTCATGCATCATATGCGAGACGAAGTGGAAATCAAGACTCTCGAAACTGACATAAAATCTTCTGCAGTGTGCTGAAACGTATCCTGTTTCGCTTAGACGAGAGAAATTCTTTCTATCTGGACGAAGAGAATGGTGTACATAAACTTCAGAATCCCTGAGACTGGATCAGCAGTTCTTGATTCAGGACTCCAGACGTGATGATAATAAAGCTTGCATCCAGAAATTAAGGGCCATTAGAAAAACTGTTGATGTGTTATCAAATATTTTGTTCCGAATGTCTCTTACCTTGTCTCGGTGCTTCCCATTTTTATCTTTCTACTAGAAGGTATTCGTGGAGTCGGCATTGCTGCCCTCCTTGAATCTGTTCGAATTGCCATGCAGAAAGAAGAATCCACATCCCAGCATTTCAGTTCTAGTAAGCCATGTATCAGGTCATGGTTGACTAGCTGAGGTATATCTGTGAAAGACGCTGATAACATGTTTGTGCTGGCCGTGATCTGAACACAATGGTAAGCGCCAGCACGCTCAGAACTGTGACGTGTAGAAATGTGGTAGTTCGTAGCACGCATGCTTTTGCAGTTGGACTGCGTGTGGACGTTCAGTTACAAAGACTTTTCCAGCAATTTGACTTTAACGTCGAGAATATCATTTCAAAGAATGGAGAACATCGTTTGCTGAATATCAAAGTGAGCGTGATTCGCGTTCAATTCCTTGACTCCGATATTGTGTACAGATTCATCACGCAGAATATTAATAATGTATCAGAAGCACGGTCATGAAGTGGACCAAGCTATCCTTGTGTAAGGTTGATGATCACTAGCAGTAAATACTGTATCGAGCAGAGAGCCAAGAGCTCGTGGTCAATGGGATGAAGTGAACGGAGAAGGATATCGATACTGGATTCGATACATCACTCGAGATTATACATCTTCCCATGTAGTCCAAAAAAGCAGCATTCCGATTACTCCAACTCAACCTCAATCAAGTAGAGCGAGATCCACAGGTTCACTGCGGTGTACATTTCGTATGTCCAACTAAATCTAAGTATATCTGCACGATCTGACCACACGCAGTGTTCAAGATGTGGACTTTCCTCACAGGGCATTCGCAACACTCCGTCGTGCAATCTAGCGGCAGGCTCTGGAAGAGACGAAACCAGCGGCGCAGACATAGTGTGTTAGATGCTTCGCCTGTCATTGGAAAGACCCTGCAGTTTTGCGTTGAGAGAGTTGTAGAGTTTGTGAGAAAAAATATAAGAATACGAATGACTTCTTAGATATGTGACTACAGCTAGCTAGATTTGTCACGTCCAATTTGTCATCTTTGATGAATTTACTCTGACCTGGGTGGTCGAAACAATTTGTGAAACAATCATAACAATTACTCTGCTTTTATTATGAACTGGTGTCAGGATGTGACAGCGTGGTTGTCTGCTGTAAATTCTATGCGAAAGGGAGTTTATTAAAAAAGTATAAATCTCAAAGCTGCAGTAGAACAGTAGAATAAGTCATGTGCTAACGCTCATATCAGGTACGGGAAAGTCTTCCTTAGAACATATTTAGAGACAATTTGCTCCCTGATTCTCGGAGATTCCTTGGATCCGGCGTGCCTGGCAAGGTGGTGAATATTTGCAGACACAGCATCAAACTTTGTTGCTGGTGGCATGATTGATAATGCGGTGAGGTTTGAATTGGTGAATAGTCTGTCATCTAAGCCCCACGAACTCAGCATGCTTTTTCTATATTCAGGTTCATTCACTTTGGCTTTGCAATTTTAACAAAATCATCCGGTCCGCCATGGACTCCCAGGAAGTCAAAACACGAAAATGTGGTGAAAATTCGAGAAAGGTTTGTAGTTTCCACTATAGAACTTCGAGTAAATCTCTTCTGCAGGACTGCCCATTTCAGTAACTTGCAGGAAGTCACCCATCACCACATACTGCAACAGTTCATCGATACTGATTTGATTGTAGACAAGGAGCAGTAAGTGTATAATGGAAAACATACACGTCTTATGACAGGCTCGTTACTATTGTGCTTTCGGGAAAACCTTGCCTGTAGAGAATCCCAAAAGCCACTGAAGGTAAAAGGTGGTATTGTTCAGGGGAAGCATATGTCGTGAAATTTGTGCTGGCAATTGCACTTGCATCCGAATTGGAGCAGGGAAGTAACGTGCACCCGAATCTTCGAATATTGTAGCTAAATTGCCATAGTCGATGGCCTGCCCCAGTGGCATATGAACTTATGCCAAGCTAGATGCTCAATGTCCATTTCGCCTTTCGTTTTCGGCAAGGGTGAATCTAATCTAATCTATAATCAGACAAAAGCATCGGAAATGATTAAGTCAACGAGGAACAAATCCACCGTTTCAGTGACTGGGTCTTATGGACTATTTGGCCACACCAGGGATAGTTGGCATGTTGTCATGTGTTGTGTTGGCATGTTGTCCTTACCTCCATCGCTCACACAATTCGATGGCAAGATCTGATTGAAGACGCTGCATGTGTTTTTCACGACCTACCCATCTACCCGCAACTAGATTCGCATTCTCCCACTCCAATTGTACCTTCAGCTTTACACAATGCAAAGTACTTTAAATCTGAGATCCTGAGCTTCCATTCATTCCGACACATTCTGCGTCCTCATCTCACCATTTTTGCGAAGAACCAGTCTTCTTTACATTTCAGTATCACCTCCAGAGCTATCAACTTTTCCACTCAGTTCGAGTTCAGTTACGAGTGCACATCAAACACTTTTCTCCAGTTCACGATAGGTTTGCGTCCGGATAGATTCACGCACATTGAATTGGAATCCTGGTTGTCTGCTTTCATTTTGATTCACATCGGCTGTCCTGCCCTGCACTGAATTCGAGCAGCCTCCAACTTCCACTTTGCTCAATCTTCCTCCTTTCGTGATCATTGCTCTTGATCCGATGCTTGGAGTAATCTCTGTGTCACTCCTGTAGCACCGCGCAAGAAGTCTCGTGACCAGCGGGCACATGCGCGCACACAAGTTGTGACTCTCCGACGGACAGTTCAGCTTTGTTCGGGTGAGCCGGGCTTGCATCTCGAGGAGAGAGCCTCTTGTAAGTGACTCTTGTACATTTCGCCCGCGCGTGTCCAGCAGCAAACGTTTCTTTCTCTGTGAGAGTGGAAGGTGCAGGTGCGTCCATCGTCAGTGACGCTGCTGAGCTTGCGACACGGGGAATGGACTCCGCAGACGAGGAACCGGAGCTATTGAATGTTCCTCTCAACACCTGTCATGTTAGTTTTCTAATTGAGGTTGTGTTTCTGACCATGACGTATGTGGAAAGGCTGATGTGTGTTGTTCTTTCAATCGGCTCAGATTGCTGGGACTACATTGAGAAGTATCAACTACCGTATCACCCTCTCCACGACCAAGGGTATCCTAGCATCGGAGATATGCAGAGCACACAGCGGAAGGAACCGGAGGTAATCGGAAACTGCAACACCTTGGAGGTTCTCGACGTGAGGCAGATCTGTGGCCGAGATAGATTGAGGATGACGGAGATGGCTTTCAGAGGATTCATGTCTAGCACCAATCTACGAGAGATAATCTTTTACCCCATCGTATGGAGTTCAGATGAGGAAATAGAGAGCTTGTGTTTACAGCTGGGGGGAATCCTGTATTCCTCTAGCGTAACAAGATTGAGAATAGGGGAATGCGGATTGAGTGCCAGATGTTGGTTGAATCTCGCCTCAGGACTGCGAGGAAATTCGAAATCTAAACTCGAGTTTTTACATTTAAGTAACGCGTGGGAGGACTCGAGTGCGGTGAAGCATGTGGCTGACATGATCAACAGTGCTCCTCGATTACAATGGTTGGATTTATACAGCGGTTTAGAAATGGATGATGAGGCCGTTGGAATGCTATCCCAAGCTTTGATCCAGAGCTCGTCTTTGGAATGTTTGAATTTAGATGGGGTGAAGTGGGGAGCGGCCTTATTTCTGAAAGCTTTGGCCGGAGACGATGGCAACCGATCCATTGAATCTCTTTCACTGTCACTGTCCTTGAATGGTATCGATCCATTGGATGGACTCGGAGACTGTTTGAGGCAACTTCTCACTTCCAACCCATCATTGAAGGAAGTGGGGTTGAAATGCTTGCGGATGCGTCCTGAGGAATGGCAGCAGCTCGGCGAAGTCATACGTGACAATGCTATAGCAACACATATTCATCCAGAGTTTCGGTGGGAAGAGGATGAAGAAGATGAGTGGAAGTCAATAGAAGCTCTTGCGTGTGCTGCTAGCTCTGATGTCAAGGATCCCATAGTGTACCTTGATCTCACACTTCCCAGTTACCATGATTATGTGTTATCACTAAACCTATTAGGTAGGGTACTGCGCGGGGAACTCAAATCTCTATATTTTTTATCCATAAAGTTGGGAAATTATTCACCTGGAAAAAATAAATATTTACCACCTAGCAACGAAGATAGATTGAATGGAAACACTAGAGAGACTTCAGTCCTGAAGGCGCTGCTAGTAGAAGTTGAAAACAAAGATGTTTGGAAGTACCTGCTTCTGTGTTTGCGAGGTAACACAAGTCTCACTCACTTGGAATTGTCTGGCTTCGAACTCGACAAGGAGTCGTTGAGGGACCTGATGGGGCTCCTCCGAGGGAACACAAGTCTCACTCACTTGGATTTGTGTGACTTGATGTACGAACTCGACGAGGAGTCGTTTAGGGACCTGATGGGGCTACTGCAAGTCAACTTGACTCTCCAGGACATATATGTAGATAAAATAACTGACGGACAGGAGGCGCAGATTGAAGAGGCGCTCAAGCAGAACCAGAAGCGGGCCGAGTACATGTCCGCCTTCAGAGAAGCCAAATTAGAATTTGAAGCTGCAAAAGCCGGTCGACTCTTCTTGTGCGGCTCTCCTCTAGCAGGTAATGTGCTCTCTACGTTCTCAGTTTTTTTCTCAATCTATGCAAACTAGCAATCTAAGGTTTGACTTTTCAAAATTAATACTACAGTCAAAAAGTTAGATTTTTTTATCTACATGTATTTAGAATTGTGTAAATATTTAAGAAAACTAGAAACAAAAAAAAAGACAGCTAATATCAAAAAAATTAGATTAAAAATAAGAATTATTTCATAATTTTAAATTTTGATGTGAAATTCGGATTTTTCCAGTACTATTTATATATTAATATGATTAAATAATGTGGTATCAAAGAATCTATAAAAACATTTCAAGTCACAGGATGTATTTATTTTGATTTTATTTATTCATTTGCAGGCAAGACTAAAGTGTGTCAAACCCTGATGAGGATAGTTAAAGGCAAAAGTTGGATTGGCAGCAAAGTGAAGGAGTTGTGGAGAACACAGGGAATTGAAGTGGAGTTCTTGCAAAACAATGACAAAAAGCAGATCTCAATTTGGGATCTTGCGGGACAAGAAATTTTCCGTACCCTTCAAAATGTTCTCTTCCCTCAAACCAGCAATTTTTGTTTTTTTCTATTTGTATATAGCCCCTTCTGTCAGTTGAAATCTCTTGTTAAACCATACTCTTGTTTCCAAATAGAGTTGGAGGAGTGGTTGAGTTTTATCACATCCAGCACTAGGGTCACGGGACATAATCGTCCACAAGTTCTTGTTGTGATTTCACACAAGGATAAAGTTACATACAGTTCTTTGAATTGGGCTCACTCCATAGTGAAGGAGCTCACCCACAAATTTGCAAAATTTGTGGATCTCCATCCAAAGTGTTTTTATGTGAATGCTGGGAAGAAGAAGCAAGTTATTCCTCTCAAAGATAAAATTTTTGAGATCTTTGAAACATTGTTGAGTGACAAATCCCCACGAGTTCCACAATTGTGTTCTAGACTCTCTTTCCTCTTGAGTACAGAGATCAAGGAGATCAGAAGTTGGCCTCTTTGGTCCTCCAGAAAGTTGTTGAGTGGCAAATCCCCAGAAGTTCCACAATTGTGTTCTGAGCTCTCATCCTTCTTGGTTACAAACATCAAGGAGAACAAAAATTGCCCTCTTTGGTCATCTCAAAAGTTTCATCTGTTCTGTGAGCTCAGCTTGACCCAATATATTCCATCATCTTCTCCTTTTGCTTTTGATCATTCAAGGATTTTAAAATCAATATTATCCTATTTGAATGACGTTGGATCCATTGTTTCTATCCCCAACCTTGATTACATCATTGTAGATCCGAACTGGCTAACCAATACATTGTTAGGTGGGCTGGTAGCTTTGGGTCAAGATTTCCAAGCTCAAGACTCCGGGTCTTCTTCCAGAATGATGTCAACTCACTCAAATGCAAGCAAGGACGGATTTGTGAGTGAGAGTGACTTTCATCGGTTGATCAAGGACTTCCAGCAAAAGCAACCACATTGTGTGGACAGACATGTGCTTGAAGACATCCTTATCAATTTAGATTTGTGTTTCAAGGTGGAAGATACTTCTCAGTATTTCATTCCCTCCTTCATACCTGAGCATGCAAGCACGGAAGAGCATAAGCCTCAAGAATTGGCTTGGAAAACTAGGGATCAGACTTCAAAGTTTGTCGGCATCCGGATTCAGTGCCAAGATGGAACAACAATGTCACTGACCGCTGCTTTCTTCCCATGCTTCCAGGTGATTTTACATATACTGTGAGAAGATTGAAGGCGTGAAGTTCTGATTGTAACTTGTGGTTGATGAATGTACTGTTCCATTCAGTTTTTTCAATTTTGATTTCATATTTACTTCAAAGATGAATTCATTTTCTAGACTGCGCAGCTCAATATTTACCAAAGTTTGTATCATTGTAGATGTTCATGAGACGCAAGTTGATATCGGAGATGAATGTTTCTAAGAAGAATGTGACCTGCTCTCGCCATTATCTACGACTTTTCCTTGATGGATACGAAGTCTACGTCGAGCAAGGAACGTCTCACAAGTACGTGGATGTTCTGATGTTACGCTCGAAGCATAAATCAAGGTCGGAAGCTCTGCAATACGCGATGAAGCATATCGTCCAAGAGTTGATGTCATTTTGCGCATCATCCAAAGGCTGTCCAGGGGTGGCGTTAGTGTTGGGTGTGATCCAAACACGTTGCGTGGAGATGCTAGTTCCAAGTGATCTCAGAGGAGCCATTCTGATCGAGGAGCTCAAATCAAACTTCATTCGTCGCATCAATAACAAACTTGAGGATATTCCGCCGAATATGTTGCTTTTGGTGAAGGAGGAAGAGTTGTTGAACTATGAGCACTCTTGGCCCCCGATTGAAGGGCACACACCGGTAATATTTGAGAGAGCTAGGGATTTGCTGTGGGAAAGCGATGTGGAAGGGGTTGTGAATGAGATCCAACAGAAGTGCTCTCAACACTTGGAACCCTTTCGGCAAGCCTTAATAAGCGTGAGCAATGATTTGGATCAACCTTACACTGAAAGTGAGAACAGGGTTGGCAACCCGAGTAATTCAGACCGACTTTATAGGTCCAACTTCCTTAAGCTGGATGAGAGATTGAGATCAGTGGAGAGCGTGGTCCAGAGAGTGGATATGAAGCTAGGACAGATACTCACTTTCCATCAAGAATTCCAGTCAAGGTTGAGTGACTTCATGTGTAAAGTGGACAGGATGATTGAGTATCCTGAATCGCTTCAGCAGGCAAGAACTCCCAAGAGACCTTACGTGACAAACGATGTTGGTGTTCTCTATAGGATAAGTGCAATTCTTCATGCCGGTACAACCATTCGCTTATACTTGATGTGTGAGTCGGTGACTGGATTTCACAAAGTCAAAGATCAAGAAGGTTTAAACATACGCTTGGATCGGGAAAATCTCAAGTGGCTTCGGAAAACTATTGAAATCTCATGCAAACTCGTGTATTACGCTGTGAAGGCGGGACTGGAAAGTACCCTCAGTTTGAGCCAAGCGATTCCGGATTGGAAAGATTTAGAATCAGATATTGTTAAACTAGATAGCATTAGCGATCGTGATCGTAGGGCAGTTCTAAAAGGTGGGGAAAGCATGGAGCTAAAAGAAGCATGGCTGAGGATTCAGCAAACTCTTGCGCCTCAGCTTCGACATAGCTATTCGGCAAAATTCAAGTTGTATCAGGTGAAATACGTGAGTCTAGAATTAGGTGGGCATGCATGGGTGTGCGAGGAGTGCATGCATAAAGGTCTTAGTAGCGGAATTTTGTCAGTTTAGGATTTGTAGGAGGTAAGAATGTCATTATGCAATTGACAAGGATATGTTTAGACGCTCATGTAATATGAGCATCTGCGAAACCTTCCTTAGGGTTTTCACTTGTACAAGTCTTTCATAACTTATGCAATCATGTCAATCGCGCAGTTATTTTTCTAAAGAAGATCAGTTTTGGCTAGCTATCAAAATTACATATTGAGGACAAAGTTCTAAGTGCGGCTTGTTGCAAGTCTCACCCTGTCGAAATTCCTACATTTATACGTTGGGTTGTCAGCCTTGACTTTTGATACATATCCCAATATGATTGTTCTGAATGATGAGGGTACAACATCTGTAGAATTGACAGGAATAAAGATCAGATTATGTTATTTTTGTACAGTTGGTAGCCTTGTTTAAACACGAGTGAACACTGCATGTTCCGACCACATGCAGTGTTCAAGATGTGCTGGAGTCAGCTTTCCTCACCTGGCCTTTGTAACACTCGATGTGCACTCTTCGAGCGTCAGGCTCTTGAAGAGACAAATACGGCTGTGCAAACCTCGTGAGTCAAATGACTGGCATGTGATTAGAGAGACAACTCAGTTTTACGCTGAGGATGTTGCGGAGTCTGTGAAAAAGAGGGTCAAGATGTAAGAATCCGAATGACTTCTTAGATACGTGACTGCAGCTAGGTAGCTTTTTGCGCTCCATCTGTAATCTATGATGAATTCTACTCTGAACTGGATGGTCGGAATAATTCATGAGACAATCAAAACATTTTATTTGCTATTTTTACAACTGTTGTCATGAGTCATTTAATGGCAGCTTGGGTGTCTTCTGCAAATTCTCTGAGCAAGGCAGTTCATTCAAAAGGGATTGATCTCAAGGCTGTGGTAGAAGAAATCGATAAGTTCTTAGATGTGCTACCACTGAGATCAGGTACGGGAAAGTCTTCCACAGAATGCATTTTGGGACATTTTGCTCGCTGATCATGGAAATTCATGCAATGGGCGTGCCTTGTTACGTGGTGCAGATATGCTTAAACGGCAGCAGGCCTGTTTTTAGTCGCAAGATTGATGATGTGGTGAGGTTTGAACTGGTTAATGGTAAATCCCCAAGTGTAAGTATTCCAGGTCGAACAGAAAATAATAAAAAGATTTGGAGGTGCCATATCCCATCGCTCTGCATACTCGCATGTGCTGAGGTTAAATGAGGACCACTAGATTCTGCGCATCTCCTGAATGTGCTCCTCAACACGTTCAACAATGCTCTTCACGTATGCCTCTGCTGAGCCTCATTCGCATGGATGCACGACGGCATTGGATTTACACCCCCTTACCGCACAAATGAAATGATCCTCGAATCAGAGTTTTGGTTGCACCTTCGGCGGTCCTTGAAGTTCAGAAGGTAATGAAGATTCTCGTCGAGTACAGTCTGTAAACATCAAATGTCATCAGAAAACGTGGATTGTGGTCGGCACACAAAACCGTCTCCATCCGAGGACCTCAGTGCCGTGTGGATGGAACATGAATCAGGAGTAGTCTGACGAACGTGATGCAATACCGAAGACGAGGCGATCATTTGCCATTCGTGGTGGTGTACTAGACCGACGTATCTCCTCATGTCATACCTTGCTTTGTGAAAGGAGGCGGTCATTACAACTGCATGAGGTGCATCACCAGTACAGTACGAGGCAAGCGTTGCTGGGACAGCCAGCCTGTGGCTGCAGCGCCCGAAGAAGGATTACAATTGCAACCATCAATCATCCTGCCTACACCGTACTCAAGACTGCATTGCATCGCTTGTTGTGATCATGAGCTTCAGGAATGGATGGGTCGGAGGAGAAGGGAGAACTCTTCGTTAAACTATGTGGCAACAACGCCACAACGCAGTCCGATGAGATTTATGCTGCAGTGGAGTTTCATATTCCCAGCACGTGTCCACAACGCTCCACTCGATGGGTTCAGGCTGAGGACATTCGTCTTCGACTGAAGCACGTTGTTTATGCCTTCCCACCTTCCAACTCGATGTCCAGGGTTTCGGATTCGAAACCATGTTTGTCTTTGCCAAGATCTTGAACTTCATATTCTGACTCGTTAGGTTCCGGAGATTTTCTCCGTTGCACACTAATGTAGTTAGATCTTCTGATTTTGACATTTCACCTTTCACGGCCTCTCATGGCATCACAAGCGCTTACAGGGGAGCCCGTCTGTCCCTTTCATGCAGACGTAGATTCAGACCTCGATCCAGGTCAAAATTCCTTCGAGATCACAAGCATGTAAAGCACTACTCCATGTCGTGGGCATTAAAGGCTGGCAGAATTTGTCAAAGCTGGGGCATGATAATTGCCTTAAAGGAAGACGTCCAGAGAGAGTTGTCCATCCCAGCAAAGAGGCCTTCCCCGCATCTGCATGGACCTTGCGTGCTGAAGTCAAATTCCACCTATTACTGTACTGGGCAGACACGGTCATAACACAAGGGAGCAGAGAGTCGATAGAAGGGATGGGTGGTCGGTCACAGCAGCATTAATGAAGGAAAAATGTACCAAGGACTCTTTTCGGAATGGGCTCTTTTTTGAACTAGCTCCAGGACGGAGTTCGTTGCAAGTTCTTAGTTTCTTTCGTGCATATCTCATTCAATGTAGGCCTGGTCTGGTGACTTTTCCACGACAGAGGAATCTGTCATTTCCTGAGGTTTGGTGCAGCTACAAAACTTTGCAACTAAGCAGGTTCTCACAAGTCTGTCAAAAGCGCGATGATGTGTTTGCTAAGATCGTTTATTTATACGACTGTCAGCTAATCGTGTATAGTACAGTATTTGTAAAGCAAGGTATGAAATGTATCAGTAAATAATATCATTGAGAATATGTATTGAATCAAAGAGGGTCTTATATAAGAGCTTGGCGCTCATGACGTGCATACCTCAAAATAGGGGTAGAAGCTTTAGGGGTATTCCCCCCATGACTTTTTCCATCTGATGAACTTCAATCAGCTCGTTCCTTTCTAGAGCGATTTGCTTCATTTCCAAGCATTCAATTCTGTTTTTGACTTGAAGCTGATTTATGCTTTGGAGCTTGCTACATGTTGAAACAAATTTCTATTTGAATAATTGCTACTTTTCTTTGAAAATAGTACGTAGAAGTATCAAATCAGTATATCACTCCACCCACTTTCACGAACGGTTGTACAAAACTTACGAACGAGACTTGAAAACTTTAAGGTCGTAATGTTGACCATGCATTTAAACACATATAATTTAAAGATTGGATTTAAAAATATGATATTGGTCATATTTTATGCTTCATTTTCTGTCTCAATTGAATTTCCAAGAGTACTGCTATGACATTCTTTTATCTTCAACAAAAAAAAATTTGGTCTTAGAGTAGATCAAATTTTTTTTTAATTTTTGTATGGCGTCTAAGAGTAGACGCATGTGTGGCTGAATACTGTTGATTATTACTTTAATATTTATCAAAAATATTCCTAATTCACTGAATATTTTTTCCGAAGTAACCAAATATTTTAAACTGAATATTTATTTTGAAAAGTATATTTTTAATTTATAGCAGGTTATATATAGAATTATAGAATTCATATAAGTTTGCAATTGGAAACTTAAATAAGCGAAACTCATTACAAAAACTCACAATTTTATTCTATTTTCTTTGAATTTATATAAGAGATGTAGTAAGAACTGTTGATTTAATACTGTTAAATACATTTTTAAAAATTCATTATATTCTTCAGAAACACCTACAATTTTCCTTTTCTTCAAGACTGTGTATTCATTTACTTATTTATCTTATATTTATACCCATAAATCCATTGAAATAAAAACTAGAAATTTAATGCACTCTACCTTGAAAATTCCATGTTATAGTGCACTAAATATGCTTTTTTGAGCTTAAATTATTAGGAATCTCTTAACTACTTCATGTACAATATTTTAATATTTTAAAAGCAAAGATTGGAAACTAACACATAAACATAAAACAAGTATGTTTTGAAATGGTTTCGAACTATGAACTATAATTATAAAAAATTGTTAAAACGAGGATTTAGGTTAAAGGCTTCAAGTTTAGTATAAATTAATCTTATATCGCTTTATATGCTGATTGTAATTGTTACACAAAGTCTTAATCTGCTTCGCGTGTTGGGATATGAGATCTTATGACTTCTCTAAACAATCAATAGATACCATAATGAAGGACGTAAAGAGACGGCATTCAGATAATGCTGTAAATATAAACACATTTATGTGACACCATTTTATTTGTGCCTTGACACGGATTATCATAGACCTTCATTGGAATAAGAACACAGTTCTTTACTAGAGAGAAGAAGTCTCAGTTTGTCACCTCGTAGCCATTCCTTTCTTAAACACTGCTGATTTGGAAATGATTGATCAATACTTTATTATCTGGTTCACGCATCCGTGTAACAGTACCAAAAGACGTGTGGGAAGGATCGATTTCCCGCCCTGTTTCAACACTGGTTTCAGCTTTCATACGCCGCCATTCTCGGTGCAAATCCACCTCTAGATGAGGGAGAAGACAAAAGGCCTAACTAGAAAATTACTAGTCTTCACAAGTCTCAGTCCATGTAATACCCAGGAATCAAAGCTGCAGTAAGTAGACAGTCTGAAACTGCCATATCGTATGCACAAAGCAAGGGATTCGGCTTTGCTCACTTCATATAATTATATTACAAAATCTTGCCAACCTAAACCGCACTAAATTAGATGGAGATAGAGGCGGTAAAATTGCTGTGCTTCACGGACATAAATTACATGTGGCAACTTGGTGAACCTACCAACCTAAGTAGTGGCTACCCCACTGGATTAAAGGATGTGATAAGTATGCGCCTACAGTGAATCCGACTATCACATAGTAGGGAACTCGCATGAATTCTTTATAATAGTCATCCGGGAGCTGTTGTCGACCGTCTAAAATTGCAGCAAAGGGAACAACACTCGTGCGCTTCTTCACAATTTCAAACGATTCCCCATATTTGGCTTCTAGACGCTTGTCTCCGTGCCAAACACCGAAGAGATGATGGCCGAGCAAGCCCAAAGAAGTGATGACTGTAAAAGAGTTTCCGATCCATAGGGTGTGTGCAAGGCACCACAAAAACTGCCCCACCATCTGCGAGAACCCACAAAGCTTCAGTAAAAAGAACGATTATCCTGACGAGTGTTAAATAGGCAACCCGATTTGTTACAGGCATAACCCAATTTGTCATCCTCTCACTAGGCCGATGAATTCTTAGACTGTGTAAGTAAAACTAAACACAGTGTCCAGCTGCATGGCTTCTGAGTTCGTAGAAATGTACTTTTGAAGAAAAAAGAGGTCATTGCATCAGCATGGAAGGGGAAAAGGTAAATTACTTGTGGATGTCTTGTGATCCTCATGATTCCTGTCTCATACATGTGCACTTTGGGCTTGTCTACCGCAGCAACTTCCAATAGGTTGAATGTAGAGGGATAGAGGAACAGAAATGAGATGAAAGACATAATCCAGCAGAATTCGTGGACACCGGGGACATCTCGAACTTGCCAGAGCTGGACACCATCGTATCTGTGATTGATAAAATACACCTGCCAATACATCAACATAGATGTTCAGCTCACATAGTAAGTATCTTAGCTTATAGTGGCAGCCACTCAAACAAGAATAAATGAAATGGTAATGAGAATCCTGTTCATACCACTGCAGAGACAGCAAGAGGAAGTGATATTCCAGCAAACAAGACTCGATAAGCACGCTCGCCAATCAATTTTTCCCCGGATGCACGTAAACTTGCACCACCACTGTGAACTAACGCAAAGATGAATAAGATTTCCAGCATCACCACCTGCTCACAAATAAAGATTTAAGGCACGTCAAGTCAACGACTCTGGTTATGTCATCAAGCTACGTTATACATCAGAAACTCAGAGCCGTTCAAATCAAATTGTTGCGCAAAGATCGAAATGGAACAAATATGTAGCCAAATTGCTAAGCCGAAGTAAGAGAGGCTAGAAAGAAGACCAAAGGGAAATTAAGGATTGTGACCTCATGTTTGGCGTTGAAGGAAGCCAAAGCATCCACGAATGCCGTTCCGTAGCCTGTATTTGGATCCAGCCAGGCAACATACAAAATAGCCAAAACGACTCCCAGCACAAGAGTAAAATATATCCAAGATGACGTCTTTTGATCCTTGACGTCGAATACACCTGCATCTTCGCCAACAAGATTCGAAAACGTACTGTCCTCGCTGTCAGGATCAGTCACATTTTGAACATCTCCCGAACTGGACTTCACTTTGAAGGGAGTGCTTTGACCAGAGGCAGGAAAAGACGATTCTTCGAAATCTGGTTTAAGCTCTGCTTTCCAGCTTCTAAATGGACTACTCCGCGCCGGTTGTTTCCTCGGGGAAATAGTTTGTGATAATGACTGAACACTTGCCGCTAATCTCCATGGTCCCTGCAGCTCAGTAAGAGCGGGCGTTAGCTGGTACTTTGAATTTCTTTCTTGGTTAACCATTGACTAGCTAAACTGGAAAAAAACTCCGGACACGTATGTGTAAAAGCCAAAATACACTGAATGCAAGGGTTCCATAGGTAGTTTATAGCATGGCAACACCACATGTGTAAAGTGGGCATAGAAAGGTAGTTTAGCAATATTGACCCACTTTCGACAAGATCACTTGGAAAAACCAAGGATTATAACGCACTATTCTATCTATTCTATCGTTCTGGTCAGGCCTTACATTCTTCCTACGTATTACTGAGAATGAAGGGATGCTCCAACAATTACACATATTTTTAGGCCGGTCTAAATACAAGGTATCCCAACACCAGCGGCACGGGAAAACAAAAGGCAACTAAGAAGACCGGTAAAAGCTACTAAGATTTGCAATAAAGTGTCAATATTTCGAATTGCAGCTACATGCAATATAAAATCTAATCTGATCAAGGCGTACAGTAATCCACAAACGTAAGGGGCTAAACGAGAATCGACACTGCACTGCACGTTACAAAGAGATCAGAAAAGCCATGGGACCTATCTCAGAAGTTCGAGCACTACTTTGAACAAGGTCGATAGAGTGACCGAAAACAGCAATACAGACGAATTTGGTAACTGGGATGCGTGAGGAAGACTATGGGCAGTATGGACGCAGATAGTGTGTACCCTAGCTACCTAAATCACCAAGAATCTGTGTTCATCGTTGGAAAACTCAGAACATGGAGACTGAACTCAAGAGTGGTGCAAAGTGGACCATGTATCAGTTGAAGAGAACCCAGACCCATTATGATAACGTGATGTAAACATAAACATAAAACACAACTTACATCACAGTGACGTGCAAGCGAAGGGAAGGTGTGATCAGAAATTATTCATTCCACTGATGTTTTCTCAACAAGGTAGTGATAACCTTCAAATCATAAAACAAAATATACACGTGACTTGGACACCTCATGGACTTACTCCTTGACAATTTACCCTTAGCCATTTTGAAGAGCCGAGTGAGATTCGAGCTGTTGCACTGCAGTTTACGATTCTCATCGCTGGGGTAAGCGTTCCCATATTTAAGCCTCTAATTATTACCACGGATCTCAGTTCCGTCATGTCTCTGGAACTCTTTGCAACAACTTCTATCTGGCTTAGAATATTTGAAGACACAATCAGGTTGTCTCCGCTTTCTGGGAGGATTTTGTGTGGCAAGGGTAGGAGCAGAAGGTAGCTAAGTACGGTTTTATCGTCTTTGTCAGCATACCTAGTAGTAAAATCAAACTACAGCACGCCACTTTGAAAGAGGGGTGAAGGAGAGCAAGCAGATACGACGAATGTCGAGGCACAACAGACAATAAGCGGAGGGGTTATTAAAATCTGGCCGCTGCACTGCTCATGGTCTTCGAGAAAGGAAAAATTACGACACTTTCCCCAGTCCTCATGGAAATTCGAGAGAGAATTCGAGTGCTACAAAAATTCGTAATTCATGCACACAGTCAACTCAAAAAGCTGAAGGAATACTGACCAGCAGGCACAAGCGCGAGGAAGAAAGTGAAGAATTACGCAGCCTGCTGGAATGGAGGCAGCTTCCAGCTGAAGAAACGTCGGGCCGAGCGAATTGCACCGGAGCAAGATGTGAAGAAGCGGAAATTGGAAAACCATCTTGAAATCCTCTCCTGACGACGCAGCAAGGTGGGATTTGCAGGGCAGAGGAAGCCTGCGAAAAGACCATAGACCCCGCCATGCCTGCCTGCCTGCCTGCCTCACTCCCTCCCTCCCTCTGGCTGCTCCACTCTCGCTGTATCAGTCCGTGCAGAACAGTGCAAGGCAATGCAATCACTCCAGCAGTCTCATGCCTGCATCCGATGCCCCCCTGCAGGCACAGCGAACGAGACCGGCCCCGTGCGTCTTCAGTGAGATGTCGTGCGAGAACTCTTCACAGGCGGTGCAGAAATCCCGGGCACCATGGACGCAGAATTGCTCATGCCACATTGAACGGCGCCACAGGACGACGAAGGACGACGCTCGATGACGACAAATTCGAATCAGATGTCGTTCCTGGCGCTCGCTCGGGGATCCCCGGCGCCATGTGACGCTCTCTTGCACCGTGCGCGGTCAACACCCCTACCACGTCAAACAGGCACACTACAGTACAGTCTAACCATGTTCGGATGGATCCTCCTCCTTTACCACAGTCCGAATCGCGGATGTTCTTATTAAAATCATTCCATGTGCATTTCGCCACGTGCATTTGACAAACTCGCAAGCAAATTATTATCTCGGCAATAGAAGCACGACGTCTGATTTATTGGCAATGTGGAATTACAAGCTCGGGAGTTTCTCCTCTGACCCTCTCGTCCTCCCCAGCATTTTGAGCCAGCTCGTTTCCTTCCCTTAGAACGAAGACCGCCTTCATTTCCCCATGACTTACAAGGTTCCGACAGCGGAAGTGGATAATGACAACGGGAAATGGAAACGCATTTGCTAAACGCGTCGAAGACATTTCCCTCGAAGCCGTAAATGAGTCCTCCACGTCAGCCCGGTCGCCGAGCATGTGCCCTGACCTTGCCTCCACCACAATACTGTACCCCCCACCATCGATGCTGGACGGAAGAGCTCGGAGATGAAATCAAGGCTCCGTGAATTGGTACCAGGACCAATGTGCAGAAGAAGAAGGAAGGGTCAGGTCTCCAAGGAAGTGGAGCAGCGTGGACGCCTGACACTTGCTACCACCAGCAGCAGATGACAATTCAAGGAATCTTAAAGTATCAAAACGAAACGGAGCAGACATGGCTGGAAAGTGCTTTCACTTGACGTGTAGAATAGAAAGTGCCACTGCGGAAGCCCTCGGTACCTTGAGAATGAGCGGACCGTGATTAGGCTGCGGAGGAGGAGGAGGAGAAGGAGGATGGGAGGAAGAAGGGGTGGGTGACAAGAGGGACGGAATCTAGGACGACAGGGCTCTGGGATTTGGGATATGAGCTCTGCTGGGCTCTGGCTTGTTTCTCGTCCGAGATGCTCGTGAGCGTAACGCCACCAACGGAAAGGACATGAGCGTGTTTGAACCCCGTGGGATGAGTCGACGACGATGATGTGAATTCGAATTGTGCAGGAAAACCGTCGAGGATAACAGACAAAAAAAGTCACATTGTGCAGGAAAGTATCAACATGGGATTGATTTTGCAGATGGAGCCCTGGCGCTTGCGATGGGCGGTGACGATTGCGGTGCTGCTGATGGTGCAATTGTGCTCGGAATCCGAAGCGATCGAGGTCAAAATTCTGAAATCGGGTCTCGAGAGTCATGTCGTGGGAAGCGAGGCGAAGGTGATGCGCCAGCGCGTGGACCACTACAATGCTCAGGACCATCGCACCTTCGGGCAGAGGTGGTATGAGCACACAGACTATTTCAAGGCGCCCGATGGCCCCGTCTTCTTGCGAATCTGCGGAGAGGCGGCTTGCTCGGGAATCTCGAACGATTACCTCATGGTGCTGGCGCAAGAGTTCGGAGCCGCCGTGGTGACGCTGGAACATCGCTACTACGGCGAGAGTCTCCCGTTCGACGACCTGTCCACGGAGAATCTCAGATTTCTGTCGTCCAAGCAAGCTCTGTTTGACCTAGCTGCGTTCCGCAACTACTACCAGGAGCTGCTGAACCAGCGCCACAACCGAACGGGGGACGACAATCCGTGGATCGTCAGCGGGATTTCCTACTCCGGTGCATTGAGCGCTTGGTTCCAAATCAAGTTCCCGCATCTCTCGCGAGGGGCCATCTCGAGCTCGGGCGTCGTGCTCGCCGTGCTCAACTACACGGATTTCGACAGGCAGGTGGCCGAGTCGGCAGGGCCCGTGTGTGCGAGTGCATTGCGCCAAGTGACCGCCGAGGTCGAGGAAGCTGTGAAGAAGAACGCCACCGCAATCAAGGAGCTCTTCTCCGCGGGGCAGCTGAAGAATGACGGCGACTTCTTCTATTTTCTGGCCGATGCCGCTGCCATCGCGTTCCAGTACGGGAACCCGGATCGATTGTGCAAGCCCCTGGAGGAAGTGTACACGAACAACGGAGACGTCGTCGCCGCCTACGCAGAAATCGTGAAGTCGTTCTACATCGACTACTTCGGGACGTCGGTCGACACATACGATCAAGAATCGCTGAAGAACACAACTCCAGGTCCTCACTCCGGGGACCGCATGTGGTGGTATCAAGTGTGCTCGGAAGTGGCCTACTTCCAAGCAGCATACGAAGGCAGCATTCGCTCGTCTGAAGTCAGCGTCAAGTATCACCTGGACCTGTGTGCAAATGTGTTCGGAGCCGGCATGTATCCGGAGGTGGAAATCACAAATCTCTACTACGGAGGAACTGCCATCTATGGGTCCAAAATTGTGTTCATGAATGGATCTCAGGACCCTTGGCGATGGGCCTCGAAGCAGACCTCGTCCCCCGGGGAACCCTCGTTTCTGATCAAATGTCAAAACTGCGGTCATGGAACTGATATGCGAGGATGCCCTCAATCTCCCCTGCAGGCCAAGGGCGACGCGTCCAAATGCGACAATCCTCTGGAGGTTCTGAAAGCTCGAGAGCTCATTTCCACGTTCATCGGAGAGTGGTTGGCAGAGCCAGTCAAGTGTTTAGAACAGCTGTAGATCTCGTTCTCTTGTTGTGGAGCACAAGGCCTGCCTCACCTTTCACATCCTCATTAGGTCGTCACGCCACCGACCCGTCGTGGCAGTGCTGTATATTCTTAGTTCGAACCTGATTTCTCCTCGAGTGCTCCACAACTTCTCTCTTTTCTAGTACCATAGTCCACTGTTGTTGTTTACAGGCTTGAAAAGTCAGGCGAGCACTACAGGCCTCGATGTACATTGTTCCTGGGGAGGCTCGAACTGCTTGAACATAAGTTGTGTCCCAAGTACTCATGCACAAAGTCTTTTCTCGTGGTGGTCTGACCGCCTGGGTCGGAGGACTGCACTGTCTGTGATATCAGGGTTTTGTGAGTTTGTTCGCCAGTGAATGGAGGTTCGTATAACTTTCAAAGTATGAACCTAACGAAGTTGCTGCGTTCATTCGAGGTGGACTTCTATTGTATTGTTGGAGATGTCTTTTCGATTGATACACCTGGTTTGAATTGCGGTGACGAAACTTAGCCCAATTCCGTCAATTATGTTTCGAAGCCTGGGATAAGAATTCAAGCACCTACTCTTCAGTACGTACTCAATCTTCCGTGGCTTATGGGAAAGCCTGCGACGTGCTCTTTCTGACTCCGAAATCGCTTGCTTTGGACACGTGTGGAATGACTTGATTGCCGAGCACTCAATGTTCTTCCTGAAAGCCATACTCGGGCCGTAAACGGTCAGTAGGGTGCTTTGCTTCCAAGTGTTCCTGGTTCAGAAGCACAGTTCGCGCTTCCTGCTGTCTGCTTAAGATCCTCCATGTCTTAATACACCGCCTGTAACTCTCATGTCATATCTCATCAGCTTGCTATTTGGCTTTTCGATCTGAAGGCGGACATGGAGTTAAGGGCAATCTATCGCTCCGCTGTTTGCTGGCTGACAGAGAGAGAACTATTAAGTAAACAGATGCCAGTGACATGTTGGAATGCCTCTGTAAAACGCGAATTTTTCTGAAGTAAACTGAGTGATCCGCCTCTCTCAATGTTGACGCACTTTCGACGACATCATCTCCACTCGGAGCTCTCAAGCGAGAATTCCAGCCGTCCTCACGGATGTCCTCCCACCCTCTGTAGACCATAGCGGCATTTACGTCTGTGTCCAACATCACGCTTCTTTAGCTCAACAAGAGCTGCCGACGTCAACAAGACGATCCGGGCACGGTGTACCATTTGGGCCCAGGAAACTCAAAATCAGCTCTGATGTGCAGTGAAGCGATCCGAGTGTCAAGGCCGCACGATGGATATTGTAGATGCTAGTCTTTCAGACTTGCATAATTTCCTACATCTTCCTCTGCTGCTGCTGCTGCTTACATCTAGTTATCAAAAAGCGGTGCAGCAAAACTCTATCGGAGTAAAACAGCAACAATTGTGAACCAGCGCGTGGAGAATTATCTACTACCGCACCTATCCTAGCAACAGCGGTGTATGAGCTCAGAAAATTAAGTCAGTTTACAGAATCGGCTGGGCCAATTCGAGCGCATGCACTTCGTTGAGTTATTACTGCAGGGGCTGCCCTGAAAACAAATGTCACGCAATAATTGGAAAGCTTCAAAGCCGATGATAGACCGCTGATGAATGAGGGAGACTTCCTCTACTTCGTAACCGATGCTGCTACAATCGGAACGGGAATGGGGACTCGGTGTGCAAGCCCGTGGAGGACATGTACTCAGAGAGTGAACACGTTGTGTTTCACGTGAAGTCGTTCTCCATGGGCATGTCGTATGGCCAGGCCAGGAGAACGTCATTAGGACCATCTGGCGGTTCCACATGAGCTCTGAATTGGGTACTTCCCAAACGGCCCAGGTCAAGTTCACAGATTGTCTCGCCCTTTGCCCGGATCTGTTCGGGACGGGCGAAGAAGACTCGTGTCCTCGAGTGAGCAACAAGATTGTCTACTAGGGATCGACGGGCATCGCTGGGTCCAAAAGTGATTTATGATTTACCTTCGGCGATGAAGCAGACCTCGTCGGCCGGAGAGCCATGGTTCTTGGTCGACTCCTGACTTGCGAGCTTGCCAAAGGCGACGTGACCAAATGTGAGAATCCGCGAGAGGTACTGAAAGCTCGTCAGCTGATTCAGAGTCTGTCTCGGGTGGTTGGCAGAGCCTGGCACCTGCTCAGAAGAGCAATGAATGTCACTCGAGTTCCCTTCCATGGCACCTAGCCCCCATACTCCATCCGGTTCAAGGGGGTAAAACGAAACGTACCGGTGGCAGCAGGTCAATTCTGCTCGCGAGAGTAATGGAGAGAACAGTTCGGTACACGTGGATTCTTCGGTCTTTCGATTCGCGATTTTGCTCGATTTTGTCTAAGATACATTCGACAGCACATGAGCTTTATTTGATTAAGATATTTCGAGTTTGCGAAGTTTTTATGCTCTACCTCCAGATGTCTGTAAAATTCTCGATCCAAAGTTTCTAAATCTTTCAATGCTCTCTTATGTCTCATCAGCATCTTGCAGAGATAGATCAATATGTTTATCCAATGATGAGAAGATGTGAGCCCTTTGAAGCTTTTACAACGCATGGACAACGTAGCAACTTGTGTCTGACGAATATCTGAATTTGTGTACATGCCCAGGAAAGACTCACCTACCATGATATTATTGATAAGAATTACGAGAGCAGAGTTTGAGTGTGATACTAACGTATCATGTAGTCTTTGTAGAAGCTTTGTGGTAGCTTAATCTTCTTGATCGAGATTATGATCTATCGGAGAGTGAATTTGAAGCAACAAAGGAAAATAGCAAGAGTTATCGAACACCCAACATTTCACATTGATACTGTATAGAATATGCACAGTTAACAACTGGAACACGGCGACCAAAATATTCATACCATTCGATCTCGAGAGTAATTCCGACTTGAATTTGAGAGTATGTTTACAATTTACAATCATAAAGATAAGAAAAACGTCAAACTAATCAACAATGCTAGAAGCATCGTATAATCCATCATCGATCAAAAAATTCGTTTTCTCCACAATATTCTAAATATTATGTAGGGATATATGTGAAAATTCTCTTCTCATCAAATATTTAAGTAAAAAACATCAAATTTAACACTTGTGAACAGTAATTATTCGAAACATATCAATTCTGATTTTCTCTTGAGAATATCCATACTAGTATAGAAGATAATAATATGAAACTAAAAAAATGTATATTACGAAAAGAATGAATTTTGATCAGATACACTAATTATCTTTTCATACATGAATACATTGTCAAAAGCTGACTCAACTTCGGTCTGCAATACTATCCAATCCGAATGGATCTAACGCCTAATTATTGAACTGCATGTTAAGCGATGCCATATTGTTATAAACAAGTATATTGTATGACCATGGTCGTACAACTTAACTACTCAATATAACTTAGTCTTATGCGCCAAGAGTTTTCTCTATCACAAAAGCGAACGAAAGGAGAATATCCTCAGCACATTGTTGCAAAATGTGATTTTTCGTCACTCATGGATAACTTCATATAACCACGAGAGTTTTCATCTAGCTGAAAGTAATGTCAAAGATGTTCATACATATGAGAAGTTCTTGAGAAAAGGTGTGGGATTTTGTATAAGAAATTGGATAATCAAACAATCCAAATGTGAAAAGTAATTGCTCCTATGATTGATCTTCAAGATTACTAGCTGTATATCTCATGAATATGAAAGTTGTAAAGAGTAAATAATTTCCGCATTAGCCTCAGAATAATGATGATGAAGTGCATGGAATACTCCCTAGTTTGATACTATATCATCAAATCTCAATCAAGAAAATGATATGGCTGAGTCCGATATCAAAACAATGTGGTGTGTACTGCGATTTAGCCGCATTGCCTGGACTCTCCAAAACGAGCTGGCATCTCTTTATATATAACATGACCTTTCATTACAGACGTAAGCATCACAGTGCAAGTGTGAGAAAACAAAACCAGAACAAAAAGTGGATCACGAGTTTTTTAAATGGTATGACCAAATCACCAGATTTCAGAATCGGAAGGATACCACATGATTCTTTCTCTGACCTTCTAATGCATTATATATTTTATAGATTATATAAGATGCAGGAATCAATTTACATTTACGAGATTTTCATACCTATTTGAATATAGTATAGACTTTGATCGCGTTAGTCTTCAGTGGTTGAGGTCTGACAATATATCATTCTTTGTAAGTGGAATAATGTTACTTATTCTCCAGCTGATGTGTACACCAATTCCTCAAGTGTCAAAAATCCTCACCGATGAAGTTGATTTCTGCTTTTTGACATCCACTTATTAGTCGATGGTTCTCTGTATTGAGTGGATGTACATGATGATGTTGTTTTGACGAAAGACTTATCATGTATCTCAGAACGTAGTTGGAGTCCGTGCCATCGAACTGCGGTGCTCACTAGGACTCCTTTGCGGCTGGGCCATTAATCGAAAAAATGATAGAATAATCGAAAACGCTGGCAGCTGACTCTCGGTTGGCATCGCTCATGCACTTGAGATCACTTATTGAGGACTTTCGTTGGCAGTTTTCCTGTGCCCGAAGAGGTATGATTCACATGGAAACTAGCGTAGATTGTTGGCTCGGGCTCACTGTTGTCAATCAGAGCGTGGAATTGCGCTACTTGCTACCGTGGACGCCATTACACCCAACACATCATTGGACGCGAGGGCGACTTTGTCTTTGAGTGCAGATGGTATGATACTCTTACATTACAGTGTAAAATTTGGGCAACCGATCTGGAGTTCGTTCACCAGATTCAGCTCATGCTTCTCGAGTTCCGGTTCCGAGGACTGGTTCAAGACTTGGGACAGCTAGTTTCCAACGCAAAATCTGGAGAATTCCAAGAAATAGTTGCAAGACGCTTTTGTTGACAGAGAACAGAGCAGAAAAAAGCAGCCTGCTCTGTTCCACCCAAAGAAATTGCTTCTCTTCCAGTACAAGCAAATCAATGAATGCGCTCTACAGCATCGGGTCAGCCAAATCTGCTGCTTCCCTGTGGATTGTCAGAAAATATGGAAGTGTCCATCAATCCGAAACGCATGTTTGTCGTTCAATCGTCTCCACCTCGGTCAACACGGGTGCGAGATGTGGCCAATTCAGTGGCCGATGCAGAAAGAAAAGTTCAGGTCCTCGAGAGTTCCGTCTCGAACACCACCGGGATATTAGTGTGCATAGAAATCATAAATCTATGGATCCGCGTGGCGCATACGATGGTTACAGTCTCTGGGTCCGTGTTAGACCCAGGCACCCGACTCTGCGACTTGTTGACATTTCTTCAATGGCAGCAGCTCTCGAGTCCATGTGAGCTGGTGGACTCGTTTCTGCAGCATGTGCAGCAGCACTGCAGCCAGACTCGGACGATTCGGATCGTCGCCTGCGGCCACGACAGCTCTCTCTCGCTCACATGACCTGGCTCAGTGCCTTCGGAAGGGGTCTGCTGCTTTCCGCTGGCGCCTCCGAGCCTTGGCTCATGACATCAAGGAACGTGTTCCTCCTCACCGGCCACAGCCTGAGAACAACAACAAGGCGATACCGTGAGTCTTCCTCCATCTCTGGCCCTCGAGAATCATGATGGTTTGTTGTTTACCGCCCCTCGTCCCTCGTCCCGCGGGACGACGGGACTGACAGCGGGGCCTACAGTTCAGTTCCAGACGAGTTACAGAAGCTGTGTGGCGATGACGAATCCACTCATCGATTCTCGATACACGGCCCTGCTTCAAATTCTATTCTCATGTTCACTGATCGTCCACATTACGGCTCCTCTGCGTCATGCGCGAAAGGGTGTTCGAGTGTCAGCCCCTGTCGGGAACGCTGTAATGGATGATCTACCCGCTCGAGTCTCGACTGACTTCGATTCTGTGATTCTTCGCGTGCTTCTTTCCTCGCTAATCTCCGGGGATTAGACGTGCAATTACGAATGGACTTGTATGGACTTGTAATGGACTTGCGTTGGCTGTGGGAGAAGGGAAGGGAGAAATTGAGCCGGGCGCTAGTGCTAGTTGAATACAGTGCCCTGACCTGGATTCTCGCCATCGGAAACTACACCAACTCCTACGAGGACGATGATCGACCGACCGACCGACGACCAATACATTTGGAGGGAAAAGCAAACCGCCTTCGTTCTGAATTTCGTACCTGCGCTCTTTCTCGTCGAGCGGCTCAAATGGGATCTCCTGACCTGAAACCATCTCATGCCAGATGGACAAATGCTTTAGAACAGCGAATTACAGTCTGGACTGTCGTATTCACCTCACATTACAGAGCGAGCAATGGAGTGATTGATTCAGTGTGATTTCTGTGATCTCGTGAGCGGTCAAGTGTGAAATCGATCAGATTATGGAAAAGGAAGGACGGTGCAACGTGATGGCAACATCTGGGGGGATAATTCGTGCGAGAGCACCCGACCCTTTCCAGCCAAGGCTCTGGCCTCTTCGTAATGAATGTGATCGTGGTGTTCGATGCGGCGGATGTAGTCTCGGAACTGCGCACTGAAGTTGGTGGAGTAGTCAGTATCGTAATTCATGTGCCTGCCCCCGATCCGCTGCAAACCCAAGGTGGGAAACACCGGAAGCTTCTTCTTCGTTAGCCTGTTGGCTGTCAGGGCGAAAATGCCCCGATCGGCTCGCGACATGGTAATTAGGGTTGATCAGACAGCCACCGAATCGTGGAATTGAGAGCCGGACACTATCCAGCACCTCGACACAAATCGACTGACTCACATCATTTTGACCTTTGGAGTGCTCGAGACGTAGATCGCTACGGTCTCTCCCCATCGCGCTCCGTAACTTTTGCCATCTCCCACCTCGAGTGGCGCTTCGAAGAATCGTTCACACTCTGGCCATTGGCGGCACGTCGGCGCAACTCGATCGTGCCAAAGATCGCACTCTTGCCATGCATGGAGCCGACGATCGCTCACAGCGCTAACTAGGACTCGAGAAACTGCAAACGAACCAGACGGCTGCCCAGAATTTGCATGCCTCTGTCTGAGCGCACCTGTTGCAAGGCTTGTACGAAAGGGTCCTCGAAATGGAAGGGCTCTGGAGTTATGGCTCTTGCAGAAGGTTTCGCCGGACAGTGGGACGCCACGAGTCCACGCGGCTGAGCCCCGATGAGAATTCATACACCCACGGACCGAAATGAAATGTGCACTGCACAGTGGCGATTCGGGGCAGAGCCCTTTTCTGGGGAAACTCGTCGGCCTTCGGAGCAGTCTTCGGTGTTCCCTTTGACCGGCCAGCTCGCTTGCTCCTCGTGTCGAGCGAGAGCGCCCTGTCACCTTTCCTCGAATGTAATTTAATACACACGCACGGCAAGCGCAATTCAATATCACAACTGTGCTTTCTTGCTTTGCGAGCTCGCCATCAGGGCGGAAGGAAGGGCTGGCACCAGGCGCAACCCTCTTGTCCCTCAAACTGCTCGCTCCGGTCCGACTGGAGGCTTAGTGTCGGTGTAATTCGTGAGATTATGGTCAAAATTCCACCTCATTTGTTCACCAACTTGAATGGCTTTCTCGCTCGCTCATCGAGAATGTCAGAGCTGGAACATTCCCGTTTGGTACTTGGAGGGGTGAGCAGTGTACACAGCGCGACACACCACCTCCTCGTTCTCTATGCTCTCGATTCTTCTTTGATGATGTTTTATTCCTTCTTGAGATGCGTCTCGCAGCCTCGAGCGTGAGTCGAGGAGTGTGTCCATGCCAACTGATCGGGGACCAGGCAGAGAGCTGGTCCGATCAGTGACGCCTCGTGACATGGATGGAATGGAGTTCACGCATCGACAACGTTGCAGGCTCCCATCCCAACATCAGTTTCGATTTCCCTCCAGTCGATGCTTGCTTCGGGTTTGCATCAACCTTGAGACGTAAACCGCGACGCATCAATTACGCCAAGATCCGAACGACGCAATGAGTGTGCGCATGGGTGTGAAAGATCTCCTCCACCTTTCTCTCGTCATACAGCTCTGCTGCTCACAAAATGCTTCCTCATCCACCCTGATCATCCAGATTCGTTGATCTAAGTTAGCTGCTGATTTTACCGGATCCATTCTTCAGTTTTCATCCTTATTCCACGACCCAAACGATTCCAGCTCGTGCCAAGCACCGAAAGACAGATCGCTCGCAGCGACAGGTTGGTAACATGTGAGTGACGGGTCATCTGCTCGACGGATGTGAAGATAAGACCGGGGCGAGGGAACAACCGAACGGACCAGCAGCAGCCTGCCTGTCATGAGATCGTGAATTGTCCGTCTATCCGAATCATTGCGTGTCACATGCGGTATGTTGTGTTCCCATGTTTTCGAATCACAAGGCAGGCCTTTACTCTGCTCCATCCATCCTTCGCCACTGAGAGTTTGCATACTGCCCTTCGACCACAGAATATCCTGGCTCCCGGGATACAATAATTATACCTCCACTGGGTCCCCATGAGAAAAGGCGACTCACTTACTGGACAGTACTGCGACGTCTTACTTGAATATCTTGTTTACAACGAGGTCGTCCACTCCGATTTCTCAAGTGAGTATGTAAATTGGGGATAGCGCAATATTATGAGCATTGTGCGCTCCCAAAGTATGCGGACCACTTTCGAGTAGCTGATTGCCCTGCAATCGAGCATCAGCTACGACGGTAAAACTTTCCTATAGTCCCAACGACCATTTTCTCAACTGGCGTACAATCGATGTGACCCGAGGAGTTTCAATGACTTCTACCAACTCGTACCCTCGATTCAGTACCACATGTCTCAAAAAGCTCGAGTTCAAAGCTAGGTTCTCGAAAGGAGGTCCTTCGTTCCTTGCAAGCTATTCACCATTGAGACATTGTGATCATTGCGGCGAATACCCCTGTTTCTCAGTTCTAACCATCGTTTGGGAACTTGAGGTGGTCGACGCTGGAGGGCTCTTTGTTACCCTTCTACTGTGTTCAGGCAGCAAGACCTCTTCATCCAATCTTTCGGGATTGATGAGAGACCCTCGAAGGATTTCTACGCCATTCTCGCTCAATGACATGTGAAATGATCTTTCACATCATGTTTAGAACTTGTAGAACATGGAGGAAGATTCTGATGCTTGACCCCAACCAACAACATATCAATGCCCATGAAAATTATGCAGGCAACAGGTTACCTGTATCCATGATGTTCTTGTTTCTTGGATGTGAAACTGCATTGCCACTATGAAGTTGAAATACTTGGCAAATGCTGGTGGTGTTTAAGAGCTCTGAGAAATTTGAAGATTCAGGAAGAAAATGGGTTTGACCGATTCTGTTCAGGGAAAGAGTGTGCTTCCCGACACCTCCTTTCCAACTTCCCATCTTCCACGATTCGCTGGATGTTTATGGATGCGCTCTAAACAAAATCAAAGATCTCCTCTCTTCCTTTCTGGTTCGAGCTTTCTATTTGGAATGAAGAAGAGTCGTATCAAAAGCGCATTAAAGGTATCGGACTTTGCCCAGACGAGCCACCTTCCGAGAACAACTCCAGCTGGAGCACATAAACCGTTCGATATTATTCAGACATGGTTGTTGTTTCATCCATTGCCAAACGTAAGTCTGCATCTTCGCCAACGATGACTAAGTGCGAGACTATCCCATTTAAGATACTGGCACATGGTTTGATGGTGTGGAGATGGGGTCAGGAGTCTCATGAAGCGTTCACGAATGACTACGTTGTCTTGAGAGGCAAGAATCTTGGACTTAAAGAACTCAAACCTATGAACACTACGTGAGGTCGACTTGTTGGGACCGTCCAAACCAGTGACTTGGAGCGAAGTGGCCGGTCTGTCCTCGGGAATCAGGAGCACGTGCCATGCACGTTCTAATGTCCAACAGTTCCCGGCCCCCCACCCTTCGATCCAACCCTCGGGGAGACTGCTCAAAGTTGCTCAAGTATATGAAGAGTACTCAGTGATTTTGCAAAAGCGATCGGAAGACCACATCGAGTGGCTCAAGTTGCTGTTCATGATGATGAAGAACCAGTTCTGCGAAAATCATGTAGCCGTCTGTGACCAGAACTTCGGTCCAAGTCTGCAGCTCTAACACTTGCGTGACTGCAGTACGAAAGGATCTCGAGTCTCAATCAATCAATCAATCAATCAATCAATTTGCTCCTCCATTTCCATTGCCACATCTTCAGGTTGGCTGAATAGATGGACTTCATTCTTTTATCCGCAAACGGATTTCCATTTGTCCATAAATACCTTCTAATATAAGACCCAGATCAATGGTGGTTGCCGAGGGAGGGATAGAAACGAACGAACCGAAGGCGCAGCAAGAGACCCAAAAGAAAGATTCTGAAAGGACTCAAGGACGGTGGCAGTGGCAGCTGTAGCTGCAAATGCATCCAGAGACGGGGGTCGAGCGACCACCGGGGAGCTCCCACGACATGGAGGGCTCAGGTCTTCGCTGCTGTAGTTATGATGACGCTGTGACCGGCCTGGGGCGCTTGCGTTATCGTAACGGGAGAACCTGTTAGTTGATCCCCCATGGCCTTGGTCTATATCATGGATTTTCCTTGGCTTATGTCTCGCGACCTGAGGCTCCACGTGAAGGCAGCTGAAGCGGTGAAAATCATGATAACCCTCGACGAGAAGCGCATCATGCGATGTCTCTTCATGGCGGAGAATAAACCTTCGGGTTGATCGAGGGTGGGATGGGGGGTGAGGGTGGGGCTACGACTTTTTCTATCCCTCCTACTGTGTATGCGGTGAGGGTGAAGGAAGGCCTACAGGGTCAGCACCTGCACTTTCGGCCGTCGACGCGATGAGATGCTGTGCATTGAACCTAATCTCTGCATGTCCGTGATCTCCATCGAGTAGAAAAGCAAAAACGTATGGAACGCTGGAGCCAATGCACGAGGCACTGTCCTCGTCCCTCGAGAAGGACCGAGGATATAACTCAACCCAACTCAACCAAACTAAACTAAATTACACCAAACTAAGCTCCAGAGTTGGGCAGGGGAGTCCTTCCCCCTGCCCCTCTCGTCAAACTTTGACGCAGTCTGTCAACTGGGACGGACGAGTACACGGTGCGCAGGGCTGTCGGGCATGGAAGTCGGTCGTTTCTGCTTAGAAAACTGGCATGGAGTACTCCAGCAATGCAAGGCTTATGATAGTCTCACATAAGACATTCCAACGAAGAACGGGGTAGGTGACCGCACTTTCTAACCCGACCTTTCTGACTACTGCTATGGCATAGAAAGCTGGGCGATCATGTCTCATGTCACTTTGGCGATCGCGGCTGAACCTCCGATCTGATACGCATGACGATCTCGCCAGCCGTGATTCCTGTGACGAAGGTCGAAAAACCCGAGCAGTCACGTGATAACTTAAACTACTCGACCGCGAGCTCGGACTCCATCTCCGGCTTCTCCTGAACTCCCTCACTCACACCAAGATTGCCATCGCGTGCTGCCAACCGGTGAGAGACCTGCAGTAACCGGTCGCTTCCCGGTTACAGAATGCCCGTCTGAGAACGGGGGTTAGACGAAGCAACCCGCCTTCCATCCGGGTTCCGCTGCCCACTGGGTGACCGGTCGTCCGAGACATGGGTTAAAGTTCTGGCCCCACGTGGCCTCGCGAACGGCTCGAAGCCGTGCTCGCTCTACTTTCGGCAGTCGAAGAACATCTCCTGCCACAGGCCACTGACAGTTCTGAGATTCTGAGTTTCCTGAAACCGGAACCGGGTCACGGGTTTATCCAGTTTTCTGCTTCGAGGCTGGGCACGTCAGTCCTCCCCAGTCACTGTCGTCCTCCCCTCGCGGTTGCAGTCGCAATCTTTATCTCTGTAGCGATGGACGCATGCATAATCGAGAACGAGAACCGTGATTCGTGATGCCCATTCGGGATTGCGGATTTCACTGGATCTGTTCTCCTTACTTTCTTGATTCCTTCCTTCCTTCCTTCCTTCCAATCCGCTCCGCAGTTGATGTCTGCTCTCTGCTCCGTTCGTCAAGCCTCCAACAGCAGGAATGGTGGAGTCGAGCGGCATCCTTCTTACAGTTGAAGATTATATCCGTCTTAGCTTGGGTTTGAAATCATCAGACAGAGGATGCTAGCTTGATTCCTTAGATCCGCATCTTGTCAGAAGATTGATTTTCTCTTCTTTTTTTATGAAATATGAAAAGGATTCCTGGTCACTCCTCCTCGTGGCTGTTTGCTTTCCGCATCGTGTTGGATCAGTCAAGTGTGGAGCAAAGTCAAAGCAAAGGCAAAGTTTTCGAAGAATTCTAAGACCTGGAGTACGAGTTTGAAGAATGAAATCTGCAGTGGAATCAAGTCCTGGAAATTACTCCTCCTCATCTCAAGTCATGTTCGCATGCTTTGCACATAGAAACAACGAGCCAAACACATGTGAACCAAAATCTTTGACCGAGTCGATGACAGAAAAGGATGGGAGCATCCTAATTGGCCCTACAAGTAACAAACTCAGTGGAAAACTACTATGTAGACACCAACTGTTTTAAAACATGGGAAACGAAAGATATCAGAAATCTGAAAGTCAAATGTTTTACGCGAGCATTTGCAAGATATGATTGCTGGTTTCACTGTAACACTAGGTATTGCTCTTTGAACAGCAACGAACAAATATCAAACAAATGAACTATTGAGTAATGTAATGATAATGATACCCCTCTATCCCCAAGTCATAGTTTCTAACGCACTCTGTAAGTAATATGTCCAAATTCGCATCTAGAAAATCATCTTTTCTAGTCATAAATATGAATCAAATATATGATCAATGCAGGTGACATATAATTTAAGTATCTTACGTATGTGAAGATGAGTAAAACTTCATGTTGGTATTCACTAAGTAGATAACAAAATGTAAGAACATAATATTAAAATTTTTTTGCTATCAATACATTAAATCCGGTAAAGACCTGAACCATAAAGCATGGATTTGTATGAAGTATATCTGTTGATATTGTCATATTTTGAGTGGACGTTAAACATGAAATAATCAAAAAGAATATAAATTAAAATCTTATCTCAAACCATCCTTTTTTAAGTGAATTTTCTTAAATGAATGCAAAATGTTCACATAAAAAATGTAAGTATATTTCATATTATCACAAAAGTTAGTTTGAAAATATTTAAAATTTTTCCGATTTCGTGTTGAAAGAACTATCCATTGAACTCATTTTCTAAAATTATTTTCAAATCAAATATTCAAAATTTTATCACTGATATACTATTTCAAAAAAAATCACTTACTTCATGGAAAAAATTTCAATTTAATATTATTACTAGGTAATATATTCTTATATTCAATAATTATACAAAAATTTATTAACAAATCTTAAATGGATTTTATCTTCAATTGATTAACAAAAATTGCATGTGTTGTTCATTTCTCCAAATTGCATCATTCCTTCTATTTCATTGTGATGGAGTGGGTGCTTTAATTGAGATTTGAGTTTTAAATTATTTTAAAGAAATTATATCGGAATCGACATAATTGTTTTCAAAAAAAACTTGATATTTAGAGCGTTATTATTGTTTTAATATCAAAGGTCTTCTAATAGTTATTTTCTAAATCATATTTTAGTTCTTATGATGAGCATTGCATGTTGGAAAATTCTTTTTTTTATCGAAAATAAATATTTTTCCCATTCAGGTCCTGCACACTTACATAATATCAATCATTGTCTTCATGCTATATTTCACTAAAAGAGTGAGAATTTGTAGTAAGCAACGAATAAGGCAATGACTTATTGTGCCCATTTCATACCTTTGTTATAATGGTTCGATATTAATATGTGGTGATTATTATAAACACCCATAATATAATATTATTATGGGTGTTTATTAATTTCTTCGAAAAAATATTCACTACAATACTTCATCATCCTGGGATTCAGAGTTATAATGACAAAGTTTATTTCTATGCGTATAATGGTTCCTATCTTCAATCTGGATGATACAAAATCAAAAGTTATAAATGTTTAATGATCACTTAAAATTAATTTTCTCCACCATGAGTTTCAAGTCTTTCCTCATTCTAATCTCAAATTCTCAAATGCATACTTCTAATGCTTAACGACTATGAGTGTACCTCCACTCTGGACACATGATTTGAGGTTTATTTCAAAGGCAGGACCACAAATAAGTGCATGTTCATCGGTCGTGATCTGTTCGAATAATCATGGAAGCAACAGGGAGGCGTACGCCAGTTTTCTTACTGTTAACCATTGAATTCTGCATTATCAAAGCATCGTCACTGCTGGATGATTCTAATCATCATAAGATAAATGGAAAACGACACAATACTTCCTCGAACCAAAGCGACCTTCAGCTGAAAAATCTACCATCTGAGAGTTTTGATATTGGAGAACACACGTTTAGTTGATCTATTAAAGCGGGTGAAAGCATTACTAATCGTCCCATTTGAGGATCAGTGAAGCCATACCTCGCCACTTGCGCTGGCCTTGCTCTGGTATTTATGAACGCTGATAATTTTGGAAGGGACAAATCGCACATTGATACCAGGGCGTCAGACTTACATTGTGAAAGACCTGCAAAGGATGGTCCCTTTGGTCATTGAGTTGATAAACTTTCGAGCAACGCAAAATGTGGAGTCTGGATGATCTCGGTAATAATTAAAATTACAATTGAAATTCACAATCACTACTTCTTGTTCTAATGTTTTAGCAGCTGGTATTTGTAGAAAAGAGAGCAAACTCATTGTTAAACCGAATGCTTTGGTCTACTCGTAACCATGAATCAAATTTCAGAGATAAAATGTAGTAGCACGAAGTCGAACATGAATCTCATTTTAAACTAAAATGGGATGATATTGAACTCCAATAAGAACGTGATATCGTTAATTACAAGGAGGGTTAACGAAGCGAGCATTCATCTGTCTTACCGTGGATCTAGTTTGGAAATTACTTGCGGCAAGCATCGTGGTTATGTGTGATTTTCTAAGCGACAGGCGGTGAATAATAATCGAGACTCAACAACCAATGTCTACATCTAGAAACTATTTAGAGATGTCATATTTTAATTTATAAGTGAATGATAGTATATATATGTATTTATTATTATTATTATTATATCTTTGCAATATTTATATCATGAAAAAAATAATTTCAAGTCTTTATACATTGTTGAAAGTAAAGTTGAAGGATAGTTTACTCTTTCAAAATTTAAACGAAATTTGAAATATTCAACAATACATTAGTGGGCGATAGCCTCGCATTACCGCTTGGATTTGTTTATGTAGGACGGGAGTCGGGGTTTTCCCACTACATTACTTGGTTTACTTGAAATGGAAGGACTGATTAGTATCTCCACGGGTGACTGGGAGTGTGACCTGACACAGTGGTCCTTGGACCAAAACATGTGAAATTGGAACTGAAGCCGGTGTCTGGAGGCCGAAGGGACCACCGGGAACATTCGAAGTGCCCGTCGCGCACCTCGAGACAGGGATAACATCGGAGATGAACATGAGCAGAGGGAGTCCCCGGATCCGACCTGGCTGTCCATAACCATCTCAACCACTCCGCATGGAGCGGCAGAGCTGGAAAGAACGGACCCGTTTTTGTCCTCATGCCATAATCCAAGTGCTCTCCAGACCCACCTCAAGCCACCACCTGCAGAGAAGCGAGAGTTTTAAAAGGAGGTTTGTTCCAACCTGCTGGCGTTAATTGGCTCTCAAGAGCCATCCTATTTGATTATTCCGGGGACAAAGTTTCGGATCGAATTTAACTTTAGCCGCATGTAAGTTCTTCCAAGTAATCTGAGCCGGTAGATCTCATTGGCTCGGACCTGGAAAGGATTAGCACGGAGCCAACATTTGGCAGAATGCAGTGGTGGAGAAGGAGGTGGAGGTGGAGGTAGTGGTGGTGTAGATTCTGTGGAGGAGATGCGCACCTTCAAAAGAGACAGAGTAGCCTACACACATATCTCTGCACCATGCATTTGCCCTCGTTGTGCAGCGCACTGTCCTTCATTCTGAATGTAGACGAGACTTGTCCACAGCATGTCCTGCTTTTGAAAACTATTCGGGTCTCATTTGCGAACATGCCACCTGTTCCTTCTTACGTGATGCTGGAAGACAGGCAGACGGAATGAATGAAATAATGAATGTTGCTTTCCCTCTACCCCAGCCCCTCCTGCTTGTAATTCACCACGAAACACCGTAAACCCAGTAAAGAAAACTACATGACTTGATCACAAAATGCCCTTCTGTTCTTTACACCGTTTAGAAACCAATAAGGTGCCAACAAGTTTAGCAAAATGAAAAAAGACAGAAATGTTACTGAACTCTCAAACGGAATTAAAGTTGGACGACACCGAGGTCAAGGTGTTCCCAGAGCGGTTGTAGATGTGACAAAGTGTTGAATGAGGATCTAAATGGCTCAAGGAAATTCGCAGCACTGAGCGTCATTAAAATGACGATCACAGAATTAGGCGCTCGATATGAACATTGCGAAGTCATGGCATGACATGAGGTGGAGCGAGAGAGTTGAAAACGCAAGTATCTTCAGCCACTCTTTCTCATGTCCGGAGATGGCATTTTACTGGACGGTGAAAATGTTGGAATAATGGTGACCTGAAAGATTGTGGGACCGTTCGATAGATGCCAAGGCCTGAAAGGACGCGAAACCAATGCGCAAAATCTATGAGCACAACCTGATCAAATAAGAGGTCAAACAAATGTCCCAAAGCAGACATTACCAGTCACCTTCTAGGGCATGCTTTCATATCCGGTGGAAAAGGGCGAAAGAATTTAAAGGAAAGACTCAAAGAAAGAAATCTGCTTCGCTCAAACTTCCAGGTCTTGGGATCGTTGAAGCAGCCGCTTGGATTCAGATGGGTCCCTCCATGAGAGATGGAGAAGATAGTAGTTATAAGGAGAATCTTTTCAATTATAACCTACAAGTGCAATAAAATCTCTTCAAGCCGTAGAATCTTGCCCATTTCTACATCATAAAGTCCTCCACTCTCTAGAGCTTTTTCTTTCCCTCAGTCATTCAAATACCCTACACCTTCTGAGTACCTAGGGTCTTCCTCGATTTGTAGGACCAAATTCGATTTGGATTCCAAATTCGAGATAAACGCATGAACTTCATAATATTTCCTCCTGTGTATTCCCCTCAACAACAAATCAAACACCTTCAAACGATTCAGTTAGGCTATGTGAGTATTATGGCTCATCCGTCGAATAGGACCCCAAATTCACAGCAACTTGCTTTAATGAACGTGGGTGTCAACTTTGCTCAAAGAAAGGCCACTTTTTAGGATCCATCTCGACGTTTTGAGCAGCAGTCTATATACATTAGCATGAATTTGATGTGATGGAAAATGATTTGAAAAAACTTCAATATGTACCTGGCTAATTTTAGAGGGCGAGGACGAATATATGCTGTCTGCGCGTTTGAAGTAATGTCGACTTGAATCTTTCCCACGCACGCTGCCTGTATGCACAACTTCCTCCCTTCGGAGAAAAAACTTGTTCATAAATTTTCTTTTTCTTGCATGTCGGGAAAAAGTATTTCCCGCATCCTGACTTTGGGACGACTCCAGTGGAAGCAAGTGTTCCAACGTCCGCGCGTGATGACAAAATTCGTCTGCTTCCGGGGTTTTCAGCACGCATTCAGTTCGGGCAGCTGTCACAAAAACCTCCATAGTCTTAACATTATGGTGGGCCTCACTTGGGCATGAAGCAATTCGTTGGTCGATTTGCCCCCTCCTCACCTTTTCCCCCTCGATGGAGTGCGCGAGCATGGACACCAGTCCAGGATTGAACTTCTCGACCCCTCCGATCAAGACAAAGACGGAAACTAGGCTGTAGATAGACCGGGGTTAGTTAACCGCAGTTGCGGCTTTGCAGTACTGCCCACACTACGCATATTCCCTCCTCGATACCTTGAGTACCCTTCGCAGTTCCTGAACCGAATCAATAAAGTCAAACGATGGATGTGGTAGGGCTCCTTTCCTCCCCACCTTCCGTGGTAACCACTTCCCCGTTTCGCCCGGAGTGAGAACCACGACTTTGACTCCATCGGGCCCCGATCTGCCATCTGCTCGCCCACCTCACATCCAGATGAGGCGGCCCCTTTTCCACCCGGTTTCTCAATCCGAACCACGCGTGCTTCTGCAGCACCCATCTCGTCCCCTTTCCGGTGCCGCGGTAGGCCCAGGCCGCATGGCATCCCGCAAGACTCCTTCCGCTTCGGCTTCAATGCACCGGACACAAAATCCGACACGGCGGACGTCGTCTACGATCCTTCGGGCTTCTGTAGTCCGCAAGCACGCCGTAGTTCCTCTCGCGACGCTATCGCCTCCAGGCTCCGGACGAATGGCGTCGGCTCTGTCCATCGTTTCATTATCTCGCAGTAAATGTCCGATGCAGGCCATGATTGATATCGCATGGGTCCGATCGTGGATCCGATGGGTCGATGGGTCGATGTGGTCGCTGTGAGAGGCAAACCCTTATCTCCACCCCATCCAAAGATCGCGATCCACCAATCTTCTGCTCTTTTGGATAATCGTCGCCTGAGAAGTTATTACACAACGGACTAATTTTCACTCAACCGGCCAGACGTGGACCCTGACTCGGGTTACGTGGTAAAGAGGAATACACGGGCACGCGGAGATAATGAATTGAGGTTGCAACGAACCGCAACCTCAGTCCGCGAACGAGATATTTATGCTAGTGCTTATATCTCTTCCAATATGGAAGTTTATGTCTGGCCTTACTACCTGCTCTTTGAGACAAGATACTTATCAATAGGATTTTTATCAATCAATCCAGATCCACACCTACAGAAATATGATATACTAAGTTTTTCACGGATAAAAAGTTGATGAACATCATGATGTAATGGCAAGTGCAACACCTTACTTTTTAGATATATCTTGACCTCTATAATACCCAGTTCCCTGGCCAAAGTAACCTACAGTTACCATTTGCAGTACATCCAAATACGACTGAATAGGAATAGCTTCAATTTTAGTTTAGGGTGGTCATAACAACTAGTTATATTGTCACTCTCAGACATGACCTTATAAGATAGTGACAAAATCCCTCATACTTGGCTCATGTATGTCGCTAGAACAAGACTTTCGGTAAACACAGAAAATCATCTCTTACTCCTTCAGGACTTTTACAACATTCTGATATTATCACGCTTGGATATCCGCCACACTTTACATTGTCATCTCGTCATATTTCCAAATTGTTATGTTCAGACGGGACATGACTCCAGTCAGGAATGCCGCATTCCATGTTTCAAATCAGTTATCACTTTATGCAACAAATCTAAGAGCTCTCTATACCTGCTTATCTTTATCTTAGTTTTTTATAACAGATTGAAGATACAATTTTTTTCATTTAAATTGAAATTAATGAATCATGATTTTCTAAATATCATAAAACGTTAAAATTCATGAGAAAATCTAAGTTCAAAATTAAATCCTTCAGATTCATTTACTTTCCTATTCATACCCAGTCATTCATATATAGTACCTTATTACAAAAATTTGAATTTTTCTATGTGATAATAAGTAGATTGATATTAATATCACCAAAAAAATTCACACAAGAATTTTACATTGTCTTATGTCTTGTCAATATGAACAAGGAGACCATAAACATAAGTCTTTCGAGGACTTTCGAAAATACGTTTATAGGATGACAGATATCCTGGGTAATGGTTTAGAATATGATTGCTAGCTTCATGAGTGCATTTATTCTTCATCTGCCTTTGCAAGATAAACAGTAAGCGGCCGTTTAGTCAATTACTTCTTTCTCTAGGCAAATCCATGAGAGTAACTGCAGCCATAGCTAGCATGTATACATTCACACTTGTAAAATCATAACTTTGCAATCAAAAAACATAAAAAAAAATTTCAATTTACTGTACCTTATACCTGTGTTCCAATGTAATCACTGCTAGAAAGGAAACAATGTATGTATATCTCGATTTGAACAAACTGTGAAATTTTGGATTTACATAACATTTCTTTTGTGAATTATAACAATATGTATACTTTATCCATTGTAAAGCCATTATCTATAATGATCAAATTAGATTTCATTGTTACTTACGTTGAACAACATATTGTTGTCGATATGAAAGCTATTGATCATCACTCAGTGAAATATACTCTCTACTTACCCAAATATCGCATGTCATAATCACTCTCAACTTTCACAATTTGCAAGCTGGATCTAATCAAAGAGTAACTTATTCACGGTTCTCAATTTGGGTAGATTCTTTGTACAAGGCAACGTTACACATCAATCGGTTCATAATCCACACGTATCGTTCCGATCGAACCATTGTATTTGGAGAGGGAAGCAGCGACTCACTCCATTAGCCGTATTAGAACTCGGCTGGGATTCACGTGGTTCTCAAATTGCCGCGTATGGTCTTTCTATACCAATTAAGCCATTACGGAGAATCATGGTCCACCCAAGCCACTCCGTTTGAAGGTCAAGTCGCTCGGCGACCACACACAGCTAAACTTTGGAATTGTGGGGGATGCGGGTTCGAACCCATGACTCTTCATACAGGGCATAGAAGGCTCGACCGTGGAACCATCGATTTACGGTTGGAGGAAGGTCACCAGATCGTTGCTCCGTCGTTGCGCTCACTGCAATCTATTGCCAAGCCGCGACCGAACGAATAACCGTGGTAAGGTGTAGGAGAACGAATGGACAGTTCGAGCAGCGGCAACCGCGGACATGCACTGTCCGGCACACGGCATACAAGTCCCTACTGTACTGCGCAGTATGTTCGAAACAGCGTTCTCCCTTCCAGACACGACACGTACGAGTGACACTTAATTTGATTTGGCAAAAGTGTCAACTTGGTAAATAGCATGTGGGGGAAAAAAATCTCCAGAAATGATCTGACTTCACAAGTGCTCTCAAGGTTTTATATTCTTCCCCGCTTGACATGTGCCCGCGAACTGAAGTGGACGGAATCGTGACAGGACGACCGAGTCCAGTAAAAGCTCATGTTGGAAGTCGTAGGAACGAGACCTGGCTCCGTAGTACTGCTCTTTGCAGTACCAACATTTGAGCCACGGGAGCTCAA